ATGGGTTTCTTCTGACATTAGCAAGATACACATAGCACCTGTGCACTCAATATCAGATGGGGGCTTGTGAAAGCTCCTGTATGTTTTTGCAATCTGACATGGACGCAAACATTCATTTAGTATATAAAACCTTACACAAACTTCATTTGATTTCTAGTGCTGTATTTCAGGCCTCCTTTTGATTATTAGCAGTGTGAAACTTAATTGCATATAATGCACATAGCTGTAATCTAATAATGAAATCACATTTGCATTGATATCTTCAAGAAATGTGGTCAAAAACTATTTCAAACCATCTAAAAATATGTTTTTTCTATTCACTATCCTATCACCTAAAATGCATGTTAATGCCAGATGTAGTGGATGAGTTTTTGGCTTCCTGTTTGTGCCTCTTCTCCATCCCATCTCTCAGCGGAATGAATAAGTGTTTTGAAACCATATATAATTAAAGAAGGAAAATACAAAGGGCAGACCATGTGAATACATGAAAACATTGGCTTCTCTTAATCTATTAAAGGTGTTTGGGAGCCCAGGCAGGACTTTCTAATCCAGATAAGCTCAATGGGAGCATTATGATCCAGCGCTATGATCGTTTCACAACCCTTTTGTGGAGACACCAGGTCATCATAACTCTTAGCGGCATTATCACGGATTTAACCCTGATTTTTGATCCTCCTCCTGCAGGAAGAGCCATTTCACACCCATGGAGTGAATAAAGGTGTTTTTATGAATAGGAGACACAATGTCTCTGAATACACTTTCACACTGACAATTTAAGGAGCCGCAGCCAGCACCACACACGAAGCGTTGCTCTCTTGGCTATTAAAGGTTTAAGGCTAATTGCCAGACGGCGCTCTGTTTTTCTAAGTTTGCCGACCTGGCTTTTGAGCGGGGCGGAGAGTGCCGTGGCTGAGTGAGCCGGAATCCATTGTGTGAAAGAGAGTGTAAAAGCCCAGTGAGGGTATTGATGGGATTACTCACACTCTCACAGCTAAAGAGCGAGAGTGAAACAGAGAGAGTGAGGGAGTAAATGATTTAAAAGGCAGTGTAATGTAATGAGGATGGGGGCCTTGGAGGTGAGGGAAAAGACTTCCTTATAGCTATCTATCTGACTGCTAATCCTCAGAGCTTACATCTACATTAACACTCACACATCGCCGCTAACAACTTCTGGCAGCTTTTGGGTCCGTATCGCTCTATCTGTGGTGTGCTCGCCTGCAGCGCTGTCAGACTGACTTTTAGGAGCCGTTGATGCTGTGTGTGTCTGTATACCGGCGGCACTTTAAAGTGGTCTCTGATTAAGAGCCAGTGAAAGCAGGGTACACCGAGGAGCTGGAGGGCACGGAAATAAAGCCGGTCTGAGTGCCCAGTGTCGCTCTTATCTGGAGAGTTGGACGGCTTGATCTCTTCAAAGAGGACACTCACTCGAGCAAGGCCATAATCAACTGATAATAAAGTTTACTTGACTAACTACAGGCCTCAAATGAATTCTGACCATGCTGCTTTCCCACTAAAGTTGCCACCAAAATTTTAGTAATCAATTTTATTAGCAGTTAGTCATAGTATTTTATTTTGTTTTTTATTTATTTTATTTTAACTTATTTTTATTTTATTATTTTAACTTGTCTTATTTTATTCAGCTTTTACTTTTAAGTAACTCTGGTGATTTGCCACTAGATTTAGTAGGCTAGTTTTTTTGTTTTCTTTTGTTTTAGTCAGCTTATATGTAATTTTGTGATTTGCTACCAAATTGTTTTTATTTTATTTTATTTTATTCAGATTAAAATTTTAAGTAACTTTGGTCATTTGCCATCAGATTTAAATTTTTGTTTTGTTTTGCTTTTTGTTTTGATTTAGTCAGCTTATATGTAATTTTGTGATTTGCCACCAAATTGTTTTTATTTTATTTTATTTTATTCAGATTAAAATTTTAAGTAACTTTGGTCATTTGCCATCAGATTTAAATTTTTGTTTTGTTTTGCTTTTTGTTTTGATTTAGTCAGCTTATATGTAATTTTGTGATTTGCCACCAAATTGTTTTTATTTTATTTTATTTTATTCAGATTAAAATTTTAAGTAACTTTGGTCATTTGCCATCAGATTTAAATTTTTGTTTTGTTTTGCTTTTTGTTTTGATTTAGTCAGCTTTTATGTAACTTGTGATTTGCCACCAACATTTTATTTTGTTTTATTTTATTCAGTCAGCTTGTAATTAGTGCATACTGTGTTGATCATGTGGGCACTTCCTGTTCCTGATCCACCTCTCTCTCCCTATCATTTCCTGTCCTCCGTCTACCCTCTTCTAAATAAAAGTGGCAGAAGGCCAGAAAAAGGTGGAGGTCTTCTCGGCAGGGGCAGCTCAAGCAGATGCTTTCTTGGACAAATGACAGCCTGTGATTTACACACTGTCCATTTTCCACGAGAAGCCTGTTTGTTTTTAGATACAAGTGAGCAGCATTACACAAGTCTAACACACTTTCCTGGGGATAATTGCTTGTTAGCTCAATTTCACTTATGGCCCCTTAATAAAACCTAATTGAATTAGCCCCACCTTTGCTGTTCTTTTAGGTGTTTACGCTTCTCTGGTACCCCTTGTAGCCCAGAAACGGGATAATGTGTGTCCCCCGCATGCCTCAGTAAACCTGCCGTAACCCGAGGCTGTCAAGGTGAATGTTCTTTGAACTAAATAAAGAAAATCTCAAAAATGAGATAAGTAGCCCTGCGTTTGCCAACATCTTGGAGATGACTAACCCACATGGGTTTTATGATGATAACAAAAATATTTTTTGCCTGTTAAATGTTAACATCACAACCTCATCATACCTCAGTGGTTCAGACAGGATTTCCAAGTGAAGATTCAAAAGCGAGAGGAACAGGCGAGGATCCACGTGGATCCGCTCAGGCCTTTTGTCTCACCCAGAACCTGCGGCAGGCGTTTTATTATTGAATTGGTGAGGCTGAGCTCTGACGGGTGTGAATAATGCGGAATGTGGGCTGTGGCGGCTGTCAGCCAGTCTGATGAAGAGATCTTCCCTATTGGTGGGGATGAACTTCTGACCCCGCATCGTCTGTGCCGTTCTCCTTCAGCTGTTGGGCTGTTTTAAAATAATGCTCACAGACGTACAGCCTCCGAAACCTGTTTAAAACTTTCAGGAGTTTGATGACTCTGACCGTGAAAGAAAGCACTTTGCTCTGGTCGGGTGTTTGTCTTTCTTCTGAACAGGTTGCTGACCAGTAAGCTGAGCAATCAAAGTTTAGGTTCAGTTATATTTATGTATTTATTTATTTATTTATTATTCTTTTTATCCAGCACAAATAAAATTGATTTAAAGTAACAGGAGAGACATTTGTAATGTTTCTAAATGAATTTCCTTTTTACTTTTTTAGAGTACTACAAAAAAAATCATCATGATTTTAACAAAACATTAAGCAGTACAATGGTTTAAAACATTAATAATAAGATTCATTCTCAAGAAGTTTCATGAGCACCAAATCAGCATATTAGAATGATTTCTGAAGAATCGTGTGACACTGAAGACTGGAGTAATGGCTGCTGAAAATTCAGCTTTGCCATCACAGGAATAAATGACATTTTAAAATATATCGCAAATAAAAAAGAAGTTATTTTTAATAATACTTTACAATATTACTGTTATTATTGTATTTTTAACAAATAAATGCAGCTTGTGTGAGTATAAGGAACGTAAAAAAAAAAAAATGTAAAAAACTTACTGACCCCAAACTTTTGAACGGGCAGTGTATATATCGGCTACATTATATAGAGATTATTATCATTATTATTACTTAAAAAATACGAAAATTCAATATATATAGTGTATGTATTGATTCCATTTCCTTTAGTTGGTCATTTTAATTCATATAGTTTATTTTTTTAGCAAATGTTTGTGTTCAAATTTATTTTTATTTTATTGATTTGTTTGAAAGTTGATTTCTGTACTCTTTTTTTTGGTATTATGAAATATCAAAATCCCATAAAAGACCAAAGTGCTGTTCAGTATGTGCTTTAGTATCTTTAGTATTTTAGAGCTGTTGATTGTGGGCAGCAGGTACGGTTGCCACTCCCACTCTGCCTGCAGGAAGTTGCTTTGATGGCAGGCCTGTTGACTTGGGCGATTTCATTGCTTTGAGGAGTCAATGGCAGACACAGGACAAACAGCTTTTTATGAAGTGGTATGAAGTTATCTGCTGTCTGTGAGTCTGGCCGGGCTGGTGTTTTACAGCAGATAACGGCAGGCCTCTTGCCTCCCTATCAGCGCTGCGCCACCGGCCGCCCGCGCATTAGCGCCTGTCAGAGGCCTCGAGTGTGGCTGAGGGTTTGCAGGGGAGGCCAGACAAGGCCAGATAGCCGTTGGCCTGCAGATCAAAGGGTCTCCCTACAGGCCGTTCAGATAAAGCAGCTGTATTTCATGCGGCAGGTATCTATAACAGAAAGACGCCACTGTCTGAAATGCAGCATCACGGGAGACAGACAAACTGCGCTTCCTTAACACCCCCCTCCTTCTGCAATATCTCTTTTATTGGCCTAGGCGCGTAATGCTGGACGAAATGAGCCCAGTGTTTTTGTTTGAAGTCATTTTGGCCCACAGTGGTGTTTTTCAGGGGTCAGTCATTTCCTCTTTGCTATCCCAGTCAGAGGAAGGCAGGGGGGGTCGGATGGGGCTTGAACTGCTATGTGTGCCAGATGAAACACAGATAGCGGTTTATGACCTCCGAGTTACACCAGCATAGCCATAGACACTTTTCAGGTTCATTATGTATTATGACTTCAGTGAGACTTACAGAATTGAAACGTTTTCAAGTCAGTATGGTGTGATATGTGGTATGATCATCATCATAAAATTTGATGAGCAACAATAAATAAAGAACAGAAAAAATTGCAGTTTGCAGTGATAAAATGTACTCGTAATGAGCTTTAATGCGTTGTGAATCAAAATCGTGGTGTGAACTGTTGTTCTTCTCTCTGTTTTTTTCTCTGGCAGGCATGTTTGACCGCAGTGTCACCCTGCTAGAGGTGTGTGGCAGCTGGCCTGAGAGTTTTGGACTGCGTCACATGTCCTCTGTGGAAGCCACGGAAGAGGGCCTGAAGGAGAGGCTGGCAGACGCAATGTCAGAGTCGCCCAGCAGAGACATTGTGGGCTCTGGGACAGGTGAGCGCAAACCCTGTCATTAATGGTATTATGCACATCTTATAGGCAATGGATGTCAGATAACATACCATTAAATGCAACAGTTAATGTCACAGTCAGATTTAAAAGGATGGTTCTCACAAAAATCATTTTTGTTTTTCCAAATTTGTATGTCTTAAAAATTCATGTTTCAAATGTTTTGGTCCATATAATGAAAGTCATTGGGGCCTAGAACAACATCGGACCCCAACATTTTATGTGATGTTCAAAAGTAGAATATGTATTGATAACTCTGTATACTAAGATAAACAGGTATAAAACTGTCACTGGGGTGTTACCCTTTCAAAAAGTACTAACATGCACTTTAGGTGCTGATATGTATTTTTTAAAGTACTAATATGTAGCATCTGAGGGTAAATAAGGTACAAATATCAAATATATACCTTTTAGCTTTTGTACCTTAGGGTACCTACCCCCCTATTGCCAGCTTTGTACCTTTTTTTTCTGAGTGTATAGAAAAAAAACATTATTTTTAATTTTTTTGTTAAAGACCTACAAAAAGAACTTCAGTCAAGTTTGTTATTCTCATTAGTAGCTCATTGAGCTCAAAAGCAAACTAACTCCCTCCGAAGTTAATATGGTAAACCCTATTTTGTTCGATTTGCTCTTGCTAATTCTTCCAGTGACTAGGGGAATCAGTTATGTCTCCTCAATCCTGTTTGAATTACACAGAGATAAGAATACGTCCTGGCGTATTTACGTGATTTCTCGTACACATCTTGGAAAAGACACATTTCAGAGGTTTTACAATAACAAATTAGGTCATTCGCATTGAGGCGGCCAAGCGAAGCGAAATGAGGGGGGAAATTGCCACTCTTGACAATCCAAATGTTTAACTCATTTAGGAAGCTGCTGCTCTCCGGCCCTCCCCCTCGTCTGAACAAGACTTTCTTTGATATCTGGAGAGGATGGAGGTTGGATCCTGGACGCCGCTGCTTGGAGCAGCGAGGTCACAAGGCCCTAATGCATTTAGCATCGACTGGCCCTCTCTCGTAGCGCGTCTATTAGGCACTAATTTGATTTGTACCTATTCATTTGCAGTCCCTGCAGCAGCACCGAGTTGGCCCTCTCCATAATTGGTTCTGTCTCTATTTTTGCATCATTAGATTAAGCCCGACTCCCGGACACTTGTAGTCTGCGCTTGTCCGTCCATTTATACAGCCTAATGTAACACAAAATTCATTACTGATCACATTACTCTCAACTTTTGGCCCCACGGGTTGGCGGATGAATGTAACGTTAAGCATCTCCTGAAGCAGGAAACCCAGAGTACGGACAAAAAATGGATTGCGGCGAGAGGCTCTAAATAAACAGCACGGTGGCTGGGGACAGGGTGCTGGAGCCTCTGATGAGCGCTAGCCATCCGTTATGTCAGTCTGTGTCTTTTTCACCCAGACGTCCGGCTGCAGTTAGGAATCGGTGCCAGACTTTAAGAGTTCGAGCCATTCCCATTTGGGTCTTTGTTGAAGGTACCAACTAATGTGGCAGTAAGTGCTGAGAGTAACGGCAGAATATTGGTAATTACCCTATAGTCATCCAGAGTACCCTCTTCATTTGTTGTCATGGGTAGTGTCTAGACGGTAAATGGTGTTCTGTGAAAAGTCTTGCAGGATTCATGTGCGACGTAATACAGTGTGTTTGTATGTTGCAGATCACATCAAAAGATAAACTTGAGAATTTGTCAGTGACGATCTGTCATGTGACCAAAAGTTGAACCATCAAATTGGCATAAAATTTTCAATTTTGAAATTTCGTGTACACTGCCATTCAAAAGTCTGTGGTTGTAAGATTTTTTAATGTTTTTGATGAAGTCTCTTATGCTCACCATAGCTGCATTAGTTAGATAAAAATACAGTAAAAACATAAATTACAAAAAATATGAAATATTACAATTTCATATTGCACTATATTTGTTTACATATATTTTAAAATGTGATGGTACAAGCTGAATTTTCAGCAGCAATTACTCCTTTATTAAGTGTCACATGTTCCTTCAGAAATCATTCTAATATGCTGATAACATTTTTGTGTAACCCGTGATTCAAGATTTTAGAATTAAAACTTTTTAAATTAAGGATTTAATGCATCCTAGCTAATTAAAATTAATTTAAATAATAGATAGTTGAGGAAGATATAGATTAGATAGATAGATAGATAGATAGATAGATAGATAGATAATACTGTGTGAATTAGGTAAATACTCTTTTGGTCTCTAAACTTCATGGACCCCAATTTTAACCTCTTTTCTAGTGTGTAAGTGCCATAATTTTATTCTTTGACTTTTCACAGATTGAGGTTTGCCATCTAGACACGACTTAACAGCTGGTGTGGGATTTATCTGATCGGTTGTAAAGCAGTGTGGGATTGTGTCGTTGAGCTGTGGGTGAGCCAGTGCATCTGTCTATGTAATACCTGAGCAGCTTTCTTTGTAGTTGTGGGACGCCCCATTTAATAAGGCAGGTTCAGCCGGGAGCCTCTTTGAAGGGTCGAAAGCAGATGGTTCGACACTTAGCATCTCCTCACGCACAGGCGCTTCTTCAGAAGAGGATTGCAGCGTCAGGGGACATCTCAGACTCTTCTTCTTCTGCTTTATCAGTCGCTAACTACTTCTCCATGTTTCATTCCATCTATCCCCTTCCTCCAGTTCACAGATTTAGCATTCTTTCGTAGTTTAACATCAATGAAATTGGAAAACCGAGAACTGGGAATTTCTTCTCATGCAGGTAATAGAGAGCGAACGCAAGACTCCCAGTTTACCGTCACGCAAGGAATGTAAGAGAAAACTCTTGAAATGCAGTCATCTTAAAATTAGATTTTGGCCGGCGGCATAATGTTGCAAATTGGATTTTTGTCATTGGTGCTAACCTAACGTAAATTCCATTTAAGCAGGGGGAAGAGGACACCACCGCTGCCAGTGTTTACTGAGGTTGCACACAGGGATTATGTCTCTGTCATTCCTCATTACTCCAGCCGCCCCAAAAAACACATTTATATCTATTTCCCCGTTAAGCCTACAGTACTGAGTGCACACTCTCAAATCCCCATCCCCCTTCAGCCTTACAGAGCTCTCAGAAAGACATGACTCTTAAAAATTTGATAATGCTAATACACTGTCTGTCTTTAAACAAAATGCTGCAGCGAATATTTTTCTCACATTAGTTTTATTTTAGTGAATCGGTTCGTTTGGTTCACAGTTCAAACTGTTTTAAAATCAGATAATGCTATTGTCCTACCGATGATTCCCAGTGTTTTCTAGTAGTGATGTAGTCATAACTTGTAAAAATTAATATAGCAATGCTAAAATGTTGTTTGTGTTTCTTCGTTGATATAGAGATTTGAATGCATGCTTGTATGTTTTGTGTGGTTGATTAGCACAGTACTGTGATTATGGAAAGGTTTTACAGTAATTGTGTGTCAAAGTTGAAAGGACCCTCCTTTGTTGTCTACTGAACCAAATATATGTGTACTTTTAAAATTATTAAGGCCGATGGGTTTTTGTGCACTTGAAGGAGAGCCCACACTGTCGGAGCCGGACATGCCACAATAGCTTCATTGTGAAGAGGATGTTAGCGACAGCTCTCAAGCACCCTCTCTTTCTTTCTTCCTCTCCTTTCTCTTCATCCTTGAGTATTCAGTTCAACCCTCAGGGCAGAGCTTTACAGTGACAGCAACACACGTACATACACTCTCTAAAACACATACACAACACCTTTATATATACACACGTCAGTGTTGTTAGCTTTTTAGTAATAATTTATAGTGTTGCTAACTGCTTATTCAGCTTGACTGTAGTTGAACTACTTTCATTTATGAATATCTAGTTGCTTGTTAAACTACAGTTTTGAAGTAGCTTTCCAACACTGAAACATTCACATGGCTGGCCCTTAAACAGTCATGCATGGCAGCTGGTAAAAGAAAGAACACATGTACATGAGCATAGTTTTCCCGACATAAATGGACACTTGCATGCTGTGACCACCACTGAGCTGACTGAACTGTGACCGGCTGAACTTACGATGATTAGAGCTTTTGTCACGAAACTAGGAACAATGCACTTACATCCGCCAGTAACACTCGTCTGTACATACTTCTCCATTGGCTAGACACTCCAGGGCGCCAAAAATCTGTCTTCCTCTCGATTGGCTGTTAGCACTCATGAAAGAAGCAGGATGTTTGTTTTCCAACCTCTCCAAAGCCATCAAAACATTCATCACTCGATATTTTAGCCTTTGCGCACTAGTTGTCAAAGTTTTAGTTTATAAAATTGTCAGGTCCTGTTTGAACTGTTTCTTTTTATGATTGAGTTAATTGTCTGACCAGGAATTGGTTATAGTTGGCTCTCGCAGAATCTGTGTGCAGAACTCCACAGAAAGTTCCTCAGGTTTCCATAGAATTAGAAAGACGACATTCTGAAAAGTCCCTGAGTGCTTGTGTGTTTATTTAATATTTTGGCAAATTTGATGATGTTTTCAGTTATAAATAACCGTGTTATATTCTCAGCTTAAACATTTTAATATGTTTTAATTTATTCTCTAGAAATCAGCTGATTTTCCTTCCCAAATAAGTACAGAAGTACAGTCTTGCTGTTGACTGACATGGCTGATAGTTTGAACTTTGAGTAGATTTACAGTGAATTTCTGTGGTAATGCTTACTCAGACTGAGCCTCACCATCTACTATTTATTTCATGTATGCTAACAAAAAATTGAGGTTTGATTGAGAATTAGGCATGAAAATGTATCAAAGAGGCCTTAAGTTGGTAATGTGCAGCAGCTAATTACTGGCATACCAGATTATCCCAGCGCACAATAGGGTAGATCCTGTTCTGGGTGTACTGAAAACCCTCTATTGTTTGCTTACCTGGTTAATGACAGTAATATTCCTGTTTGAATTGGACTAACTCACAAGTATTCTTTCGCCAAATCGCAAGCTATTATCCGAAAGAGCGTTCCGTGTCTTAAT